TTCTATGATTCTGTGGGTCTCACACAGCCTTAAAGACCCTGCAGGTCAGGGTTAACTGCCATCCTTTATTGGGTGCACATCAGGGCCAGCAACGCTTTCTGGATAGAAATACTGTCCTGAAAATATAAAGAGTTACATTTGAAATACATTTCATGTTTAAAGAAAAAAAAAAAAAAGATTTTTTAGAATTCAATAATGAGAAACTTTCCAGAAAATATTTTGAAACATTATTGGCCTCTTTTTTTCCCTCTCATAGGGAATATATTTTGTTTCTGATATTTCTTATACATGTACTGGTGGCATTTCACCAGTTAGTGCTGCTGCCAATCCCTGCAGCATCAACAGAAGGGATGTTCAAAGACAGGAAGAACTCATTTTTGTCCTTCCCCAGGAAAGCAACTCTCTGTAGCGCTGAGGCTGATCCGAGAAGACCTGGGCAGGTTGTTTACCTTGTAATGGCACCAAGAGCTTATTTCTAACACTCCCATTGATTTTACCTGATGCTGTCGGGGCTCTCTCACAGCAGTGATGCTGCAGATTGGCGTTCAGGTTAAAACTGCGCTGGTGTTTCACTCAGCAGCAGAACTCCTAATGATCTTGAAGCAGATAGATTTTCCCCAGCACTTACCCTATCCACAGCAGCATCTGGTCATAAAAAGGACAGTAACTCCATGCACCTGCAGTACACACACATTGTCCATCCATGTGAGTACAGAAGTGAAGTACAGGCGTTCATTTTTCCCACCCACCTCCATCTGCATTTTCCAAACATTAGGGTCAGAGTCATCTCACTTATGGCTCTGCAAGACAAATAAGCCTATTGGTTTTTAGGAGCATTATTTTACAGTTATTTTACCATAAGGATAGTAATGGCACTGGCACGGATTGCCCAGAGGAGTGGTGGATGCTCCGTCCTTGGACACACTCAAGGTCAGGCTGGACGGAGCTCTGAGCACCTGATGGAGCTGTGTGTGTCCCTGCTCATTGCAAGGGAGTTGGACCAGATGGTCTTTAAAGGTCCCTTCCAGCTCAAACTGTGACTGTGTGATTTTGGGGTGTTGATGCTGCTGCAGTGTCACATAGCTGCTTGGAGCCAGGATGAGCTCAGTGGGGCTTCCTGGCAGGGAACAGGGATAAATAACAAGGACACGTCAAGGAATAATTAGAGAAATGGATAAATTAACGTGAACAGATCACTGCCCATTGCTAAAACTTCAGAAAACAACACTGGATGCAACCCTTCCCAAAACCATCAATAAAATAAAATCTTTATGCAGGCAATTCAAGTTTTATATCTTTAGAATTGCTCTGTATTTTTATCATAGCACAAATGGTAACCAAATGTGATACTTTCCACATATATGAAGGCAACATCCAAATCTTTGATGAACACACGTGCCTACTTGCTCAAGATACCAAAATTCTTTAAGACAGCTTAAATAAAACACCTTAAAATAATGAATACAGTGGGAATATGACTGAAGTCCATCAAATCATTGATAAAGGGGAAGAAAATATTTAACTTTCTCCTGGCCTTCCTCTTGTAAGTACATATTTGTAATTGACTTGTCATCATTGACTAATTATACTTATGAATATGACAGCTATCCGAGATACGATTACAGCCATGCTCTCCTTCACACAGTATTGTTAATTTACTTGTTTCTCTGCAGACCATTAAGATGATGCATACATCTGTGCATCAGCTATTTATTTTAGCTATTGCTTAGCTATGCATCAGCTGCTATCTTAATTAGCTATTTTAAATCTTAGTTAATGGACATCTAATTTTTTCCCTCATCTTGGGTACTTAGCCTTAAAAGCCACATCCAAAAGACCATGACATCAACCTAGTTACTCCAGTCTAACCAAGCAGGAACAATACATTATATACAAAAGAATAAAAAGAGCAATTTGGGGCACTGCCATCTGTTCCAATTTGCCACACGGCACTCATGGGCACAGTGGAAGGTAAAAAAGGAGGAACAGCGTTGGGAGAATCACTGCAGAAGGCACAGATTTCCTATTGGTGCATGAGGATATTCAACCCAAATCATATTTCGTCATCTGGGTATGTCCAGTTGGGAATGTAGGATGAGCAGTGTGGCCCTCCTCAAGACATGAGCTTGGGTGATTGCACACCTGTGAATAATCCCATTGATTCTGTACAGAATTAGTACTGACATTGAAGAATTAACATAGTGGGACACAAAGTTCCTGCACCTTTCCATTTCATTTTAGGGATGGAATTAAAGTGGGTTTTCCTTCAATTAATGCTTGCCTTGGAAGCAGTGTAGCAGAGTCTGCAAGACCATCTTGGTGCATGAAGAGTTTCTATGCTGATGGATGGAGTGAGAAATAATGAGAGTTCAGAGCAACCCCAGGGTTGTGTGGCTCTGCAGATGTGAGCTGTGTACGTCTGGTTTGCAGACAACTCATCAGCAATGGACTGCAAAGGAGATGTCTGCACATTATCACAGTGGACAGGTGGGAGCTTTCCTGCCTTATGCAGAAACAGAATTTAACATTAAAATGTTAAATTTTAACATTTTGTGGGATTGGGAATGGAGAAGGCATGCAAGATTTAGTGGACATGGTAGTGATGGGTTGGGGTTGGATTAGATGATCTTGGAGGTCTTTTCCAATCTTAATGGTTGTATGATTTTATTTACATCAGCATTTGAACAAAGATAAAATGCTGTGAACACGATGGAAAGCTGAAGCTGTGGAAAGCTATGGGTGCTGTGAAAGGCTGTTTTGTGGGTAGGGGTTTGACCTGGGAGCTGGGCTGTTATGGGGATTAAGCACATCGTAGTTCATTAGTATGAGTTGTTCCCACCAAGTCTGGGCAGCCTGATCTAGTGGTTGGGACTGGGCTGGAACTGCATGGGCTTTAAGGTCCCTTCCAACCTCACCCATTTTATGATATGATTAACAAGAGCCCGTTAGAGGGCTAGAGAGCACAGGCATGGCAGCTTCCTTCCAGGACTGAATTCCCACTGCTGTCAGTAGCCAGTACAAAGTGCAGTGGGGAAAATGAGTTCATTTGTTTCTTTTCAAAGAAAAAACAACAACAACAGCAACAAAAATTCAAATCCTTTGGAAGTTTCCAAGTGAAAAATTCCTGGCTTTGATTAAAGTCACCTCGTGATGTGCTCTCAGATCTGGAAGAGAGGAGGGAGGCAGCCTTAATGCTTTGTCTATTCAGAGCTGGATTTACACTGACGTTTAAGTGTATACTTTTTAGTCAACTTGTAGATATTCCTTTAAATGGTGTTTGAATGGAGTTCACACACCTGCTCTGCTGAAAGATGCCCAGCTCTTTTCTGTAGTGCACCTTCCAACCACTCACTGGTGGTGAGGCACACCTGGAGACTTTCAAGGTGATGCTGGATAAGGTCTTGTGCAACCTGGTGTTCCTGTTCATTGCAGGGGAGTTGGACTAAATGGCCTTAAGAGGTACCTTCCAACTCCAAAGATTCTACATTTGTCCCTCTCTCTCTGTAAGCATTCCTTAGAGAATTTGCTGAGCTAAAGAGCCACAGTGCAGAAGGAAGGAAGCCACATCAGGAAGAAAGTTCCCCATCACCTTTATCTTGAACATTGCTGGCTGCGAGACCAAAAATCCATGCCAGAGACTGTGTGGTTTGTTAGGATGGAGTTGGAGATGAGAAATCGCTGTTAGTTTGTTGTTTCCTCCATCAGTTTCTTCCAGATGTAAATAGGGAACCTTGCTGCAGTTGCTGGTTATGATGCCAATCCTCTGACTACTGATTTCTGTGGGATGATAAGACCAATTCCCATTAAGACCTAGAAGTAGGAGTTGTGTGATGACACCATGCTGTCCCTACTTGCAAAATACATCCTCCATCTGACCCATAGACTCATCTGGCAGCTCTGACAAGAGATAGCAGTGAGAGCATGGTGTGTACTGAATCATAGAACCATTAGAGTTGGAAGAGGCCTTTAAAGATCATCTGGTCCAACTCCCCTGCAGTGAACCTACATCTACAGCTTTGGTGTAGATGGCAGGTAGGTGCTTGAGGTCCCTTCCAACCCGGGTGATTCTGTGATTCTGTGTGCTCAGAGCCCCATCCAGCCCAACCTCAAGTGTTCCAGGGATGGAAGAGTGTTGACTTTTGTTTCAAAGCTAAAATTTAGAGGCTGCTTTTGAAGCAAATCATATCCTGCCAGATGCTGCTTTGCTCCAGGAGACAGGGATGCTGTTTGCAGAGGTGCCAGGTGGGGTGTCCATGGGTGATGGGCCTTCCAACAGCCTAGTAGCAGCTCCCTACAGAATGGGAGATTTGCAGCCAAGGTGGGACAAGGTTAAAGTGATGACACATGGCCATAGAAGCGAGCTCATCCTGGAAATTGTCTTTAGCTATTTCCTGAACCACATCTGACTTCTCTTAATTTTTTTTCCCACTGCTCTTATTCTTTCCCCCTTGTTTTTATTTTTGCTTTCCCCTTCAGGGAATGCTTTCATAGCAATTTCACAGGAATTCAGTTTTGGTTTTGTTTGTAACATAAGTGTTGCCAGTGGAGTGAAAACAGAATCCACAGGTGCAATTATTGGTCACAACAGAGTGAATAAAGGAATTAATTCTCTCCAGCATTGTTATGAGTTTCACGTGCACAGCGATGGCACAGGCTGCTGCTCTAACTGCGGTGTCTTCAGGAGAAGGAAAACTCTCTGAAGGTTTGTGGGAGATAATTAGTTTGAACCAGCCTCCAGAAAAGATGTATCCTCCTTTGGGAACCTCAGAGCTAAATGCAGGGAATGAACAGGTTCCTATGGGTGACATGAGAGGAGACAGACATCGGGCTGCTCTGAGGAGGGAGGAAGAATACTCTTCCCCTGCCATTCACTTGGCTTCTTTGTGATGCAGTTATTTGCCTTTCTGCCATGAATAGGGCAGGGATGCAGCCAATCTCTGCAGCAGAGTGGCACTAAAATTAGCTGCCTTTGACAGAAAATGCCCTGAGTTTGGCTTCATTATGTTTGCTTGATGTTTTTGTTATTTCTTAAATATTTCAGCAGGAGGAAGCAGGTCTTCATGAGCTCCAACTGGCAAGCATCAGCAGCACCAAGGTAAATGCTATTGGTTAATCCCAGAAAAAGTGTAGAAAAGTGACTTTTTTCCAACAGTGAAATTATCAGCATAGAGAAGGTCATATCTTTGTGGTCACTTTGATTTCCTGCCTTCAGCAAAGCTTTTTGTGCCCTTCCAATGTCCCCTTCTCCTCCCTGACTCTCTGCTTCCTGCAGGTTCCCTTCAAGCCCGACCAGTCTGAGGATTTCAGCAGGGCATGAGGTCATTACTCAAGAAAAGCCAGTCCTAAAGCATCTTCCAACAATGGCCTGAGGAGAGGAGCCTGGTTCTGCTTTGCTGCACAGTCCTTGCTTTCACTCTTCAGCCAAACTTGTAACAGCCCTGGGAGAAGAGTTAAACAATGAAGCAGCTGTGACATCTAGTGGCACTTGTGGCTAATTCAACTCAGACAAAAATACCCACTCTGAATATGACCATATGTATATTTGACAATCAAACCTTCATGCCCAGCCTGCAATTTCCTCTATGATGGAGGTATGGGAAAAGTAAAAGTAATCATTTTTGGTCAGTGCAGGTGTAGGGTTGTTCAGCCATCCATTGCTTTTCTGCCACAACTGGTGACGAAAGGTTTCTCAGAATACAAAAGTAGAAGAAAATGCTTTAAAGGAGGAATTTGAATGTCATTCTGTGGGTTTCCACAAGTGCCAAAACAACTATAGGAGTGAACAGGGAAAAAATGATGGGGATGGGCTGATGGTTGGCAGGAACTGCTGTTCTGTCTCTGCTGATGGCACCAACAAGGTCTCCCAGGGCACAAGAGCTGGGACAGCACATGTGTACTCATCTGGCACATAGGACCTGAATTTCCTCCCTAGCTGCATGCCATTTGGACAGCAAAGGCTCATGTCCAGTGCCTAAATATAGGTGCTGAGTGCTGTCTGTTATGCCCTATGGTACCCGAGGAACCTGCAGAAGGCTGGCTGGTTGAGTATAGGACTTAAGGGAAAACCAGGCCTTCCTGGAGGGGCAGGGAGAAGCTGAAGGGGTGCTGAGAGGTGGCTCAAGCTGTACTAGATGCCAGTCCACAAGCAGCTTAAATGCTCCCTGTGTTGTCTGCAACAATCTCATAAAACAAGTCATCAGGAAATTCAGAAGAGGAGATACATGGATTCATGCATGGAAATGTGCATTTGGGAAATAGCATGCTGTGTGTGCTAGGAGTGAGTTACCTGTGGGATTGGAGAAGGTGAGCTTGGCAGGCACTTTCTGTACCCATCTCAGGCTCATGGGAAAGAGAGACTGGCGTTTGATGCAGGTGACAATTCTATCCAGGTGCTTCTGAGTGCCAGTGCTTGGAGCACAGTCTGTGTATATGCCGTGGAAGTAATCATAGAATGGTTTGGATTGGAAGAGGCCTTTAAGAGCATCTCGTGCCAACCCTCCGCTATAGGCAGGGAGACCTCCTTCTAGACTAGGTTGCTCACAGCTCCATCCAGCCTGGCCTTGAGTGCTTTCAGTGAGGGGACATTCACAACCTCACTGGTCTCACAATAAAAAATTCCTTCCTAATATCTAGTCTACATCTACCCTCTTCCAGTTTAAAATACCAGACTTAGGCTCTGGAGTGCAGACAGGACACCCTGCAAAACCAGGTGTGGCTTTTCTACCCCTGGTGCTAGGAAGTCCAGATGTTTAAGGGTGATTTATTTACACTGCACATTTTGTCAGATGATGGAAACAAACAAAGCATTAGCATTGCCTTTTCTTACACAGAAGAAGCCTTGGCTGGGAGGAATTGGCTGATTTCTGTGATGGCCCCAAGGAAGTGCACAGTCCCTAAGCTCCAAATTCCCACAACCGTCCAACCAGAAGGTAAGCAAAGGAAAGAAAAACATTTTACCATTAGTTTTAAGGGAGTATCAAAAGAAGTTTAATTTTGTGCTTGCAGCGAATTCTTTTCATCTAAAGATCTAGGAAAGGCAAAATGTGAGCAGGCAGTGTGATTTTATCTTATGCTCCTGCTGGAGTTCCCAGGTAAGTAAACATTAACATGACACTCTATTCCTTTCGGTTGTTGTTGTTTTTCCTATCTGAAGGTCGAGCCCTCTGCAGACATACTGGGCAGAAAGCCCTGTGTTTAACCTCATGAAGATCTGCTTACAAACAAGATCAAAGCCCAGCTCTAAGTAAATGAGCAAAAAGATGTTTTCACTGGGATTCAGCTGTTTCTGGACGTGTGATTTCCATAAGGTTCAGCTCCAAAATCCTCATTGCTCTTAGAATGAGATTGCACACTTAAAAATGTATTAGGAAGACCCACCCCTTCTGCAGTGGCTGAAAAGCATTGTTCAGAGATTAAATCCCATGTTTTTTTTCCAACCCTTTGGCTGCCCCACACTGAGACAGAACTCAGTCTGTCCCAAGCGGTGCAGGGGAACTCCTGTGCCACCTGAGTGCTGCTCACTGCTGTACTGTTTCTCCCTGGGTTGAATGGATTCTTTCTACTTAGCTGATTGAATCAGTTAAATTAGTGTTGGCAGAACAGAGCGTTCTCTGCTAGGAACAAAGTCACTGCATTAAACCAACCCAAAACAGGCTTATTTCTTCTTATGTTCAAGTGAGTGGAGCTGGCTTCTGTCCCACAACACTTGTATTAGGGGGTAATGACTTGTGTCAACATGAGGGAATTGGGATTGTTCAGTTTGGAGAAGAGCGGGCTCAGGGGAGGCCCTATGGCTCTGTACAGCTCCCTGAGAGGAGATTGTAGTGAGCTGGGGATCCCAGGTAACAGTGACAGGACGAGAGGTAACGGCCTTAAGTTGTGCCGGAGGAGGTTTAGGTTGGATATTATGAAAAATATCAGAAAGAGTGGTAGTGCATTGGCACAGGCTGCCCAGAGGAGGGGAATCAACTCTTGAAAGGGTTGATAACTACAGCACAAGGGGAAATGGTTTCAAGTTGAGGGAGGGAAGGTTTAGGTTGGATGCCAGGGGGAAGTTCTTTACAGAGAGAGTGGTGAGTTGCTGGAACAGCTGCCCAGAGATGCTGTGGATGCCTCGTCCCTGGAGGTGTTCAAGGCCAGATTGGATGGGGCCCTGGGCAAGCTGGTCTAGCATTAAATGTGGAGGTTGGTGGCCCTGTGTGTGGCAGGGGGGTGGAGATTCACAATCCTTGAGGTCCCTTTCAACCCTGGCCATTCTGTGATTCAGAGAGGTCCTGGGCTCGCTGTCCCTGGAGGTGGTTCAGGAACTGTGTAGAGGTGGGACTGAAGGACACAGTTAGTGGGCGCGGTGGGGATGGGCTGGATTTGGACTTGGTGACCTCAGAGGAGCTCTCAGTGTTCCCCCCCCAGCCGCGGGCGGGTAGCCAGGGCTCAGCGCTCACACAGGCGAGGCGCTGCGGACTATAGCCCCCACAATCCCCCGCGGGGCTTTCCCGCCCCTGAGCTCCCTTCTGATTGGCTGACACCGTGCGGAGGACCTTCCCCTTGAGCCAATCGCAACGCGGGGCTGCCCGGCGGCGCGCCGGTGGGGCAGTGCTCAGGCGCCGCGTAGGGCCGCCGTGGCGGTGTCATTGCGAGGGGACGATGTCTCACTGCAGCGCCGCGGCCGCCCGCCTCCTGGGCCGCTTCCTCCGCCGTGAGTACCGGCCCTCGTCCCTCAACGGCGTTCCGGGGTCTTCCGCGCTGCTTGGCAACCGGCTCCCCCCGCGGCCGCTGCTCCGGGGTAGGCCGCGGGGCCTGCGCTGGAGGGGAGCCCGGCCGCCTCCTCCTCTTCCTCCTCCTCTTCCCGCCGCCTCGCAAGGTCACCCGGGGAGGGGAGAGCGGGGCTGAGCGCTCTGAGGAGAACCCGCGCCTCGGGGAGCTGAGGTTCCTCTGGATGGAGAAGCCGCTGCGCTCTGGGGTGGCTTTTTCTGTGGTGTGACCGTGGTGGAGAGGAGCCACGTCGGGCTTTTTGGGGGCAGCGAGTAGAGCTGGAGTCTTAGTGATACGTTATCCCTTTTGGAAAGGGCGAACACGAGGACAGGCTGAGGGAGCTGGGCTTGTTCAGCCAGGAGAATAGAAGGCTGCGGGGTGACCTCATTGCAGCCATTTAGTACCTGAAGGGAGCCTGCAAACGGGGGGAATCAACTCTTTGAAAGGGTTGATAACTGCAGGACAAGGGGAAGTGGTTTTAAGTTCAAGGAGGGTAGATTTAGGTTGGATGTCAGGGGGAAGCTCTTTACAGAGAGAGTGGTGAGTTGCTGGAACAGCTGCCCAGAGAGGCTGTGGATGCCCCGTCCCTGGAGGTGTTCAAGGCCAGATTGGATGGGGCCCTGGGCAGCCTGGTCTAGCATTAAATGTGGAGGTTGGTGGCCCTGTGTGTGGCAGGGGGTTGGAGATTCACAATCCTTGAGGTCCCTTCCAACCCTGGCCATTCTGTGAACACTGATTGTGGAGCTCACCTGCTGGTTCCACACAGGACCACCCAAAACTCAAACCCTTACGTATTCACTGGGAGACCACAAGCAATCTAAGGCTAAATTTTCAGCTTGTAAGCCTTTATATACATTGCTTTGAAGATTGTAGTAAATAAATAAAAAAAAAAAAAACTTTATTTTTCTTTCTTTGTGCTTATTTTGGGCAGTTAATGCTGCATCCTCTACTGGAATCAGTATGGGCATGTCAAAGCACAAGAGTTGTTTCTTGGATTCTTAAGCTGAGGATTTGATGTGTTAGCCTTGCATCTTGCAGCTGGCAACAAATGAGCAAAATTAAGCTTAATTGTTCTCAGTGAAACTCCTTGCAAGAAAAGCTTTATGCTTCTAATGTCCCTGTCCCTGGAGGCATTCAAGGCCAGGCTGGATGTGGCTCTGGGCAGCCTAGTCTGCTGGTTGGTGACCTTGCACACAGCAGGGGAATTTAAACTAGATGGTCATTGTGGTCCTTTTCAACCCAGGGCATTCTGTGATTAACTTGTAGGTCAGGGACTCCTAATGTGATTCTGCAGTGCTTTAGGCTGTGGTGCTGTGGCACACCCACCCTCCTGCAGGTGTCCTTTCCTGCTTCATGTCCCCTATAAGCACCAGTAGAGAGCTGTGTTGCCTCAGCACAGTGTCTCTGTCTATCAGTTGAACTCTTTGAGCTCACTCCTGTGAGTCCAAGAGAATTGGTTCTGTTGGTGGATGGGCGTATAGCATCTCTGGCGTGGGTTAATTTGTATTCCAGCAAAGCTAATTTTTTACAGATTTTTATGTCTTTGAAACCCCACTTCATTCCCTTTACAAACAGCAGTCAAACAGATTGAAGGAAGAGTGCTTACAGTTCTTTTTGGGTAGTAAGGGGAGAGGTGGACTGAGTGGTTCAAGAGGTGTTCTGCTTGCAATGGTTTATAAACTCTTTTAAAGAAACTTCTGAGAGATCAAATATTCCTTCATTGAAACATTTTTCTGGTTCATTGCTCTTAAATGTTAAAAGTCTGCTGGAACCTTAAATTTGGGATGTTACGTTGGGTGTGATTGAAGCCTTTGGAAGGCTCTTAGATTAAATCATGGAAGTAGATTAGGGGCATAGCTCTGGCAAAGATTGCTGTAGAAGTAATGATGCAAATGGAGGATTTGTTGGGTGTTTCAGTGTGAGCAGCACTGGGAGAGGGGCTCCCAGCCCTTCAGCTGCATGCATTCTCAGTGAAGTATATATATAGGAAAAAGGTTGTTGTCTTGGAAGAACAGGAGTGCCTATTTTCTCCTTAAACTCCTTAGATTTGGAAGGAAGCTTCACTCTTCATGACTCCGTGGCCGATTTTTGGTTAGGGAACAAAGAAGTGTTGAAAGAAATAGAAATTCTTCTAAATGTTGCTTTCCCATTAGTCCTACTTCTGTGTAATGTGGTGGGTGTAGCATAGTCATCACATCTGTCCTTCTATAGACTGGTTAACTTATTTCTTAAACTCTTACGCTGTGTTCATAGATGGGGATTTCCATAATTAACAGGAACTTGGCAAGAGGAGAGTGAAGGAAGAGAAACTGAGGAGCAGTAGCTAGAAATCCTGTCCTGAGCACATAATTCTCTTTCAGACAAGGAGAAAGATATTCTGAGCAATCCCTTGATTACGTGGGATCTCCTTGTCAGTAAGGATCATCTTGTGCAAGTGCAATCACCACCTTGAAGGCTGAATTCTGCAGACTGATTTGAGAGAAGATGAATAATTGTTCCAAATGTGCACGTGTGAATATGGCCTAATAATGATGGTCTAAACCTAAGGAAGGACTGGGACAAGAACTTGTGCCAAATCTCAAACTTCCACTCAGTGAGCTTGGAAATTTCACTGCAGCACTTTGGTCTTCACTCAACTTTTGTTGTTTCTTTTTTTTATTTTTGTTTTTTTTTTCCCCATGTATTTTCTGTGTTGTAAGAAGCTATCCAGAACTGCTGCAGTTCTGTCCTCTTCCAGCAGAAAAACTTGGGTATTTCCACTGGTGCTCTTTGGACTTGACTCCTTTCCCTGACTTTGGCCTGAAGTCCATTCTTCCCATTTGTACTGGAGCCTATTTATTTTCTAAGGCTTTCTTCTTTTCTTACATAGGAAATAGAAAGGAATATCTTGCTTTGTCTCTAAGCTCCCAGGGCATTTCAAGAAGTGATAGAGGGAGAATTTCATTTACTGCTTGTCAGTCTCCTGGCAGTGGAACTACCTGCTCAGGTCCTTCTGGAAAGGAATCTTTGTTTCTTTCCCTTGCTTTCATGCTGTGCTATTCTGTGAGCACCTTCAGATCCTTCCTTGCCTTCCAAACTTCTTTTTTTTTTTGGTCCAAGATAAATGTGGGCAAGAGAGAAGCACTCTGATTTGGATTCCTCTCTATAGCTTTAGGGAATCTTGTGAGAAGTCCTGAAAATAACAAGTTTCCAACTCCATGAAGTTTGAGTTGGGAAGGGATTGAGCCCTGATATCTGTACTGCTGGGGTAAGCTGTACAAAGGTGACTTGGGCTCTGTTGCTTTAAATCAGATCTATTTGTTTTCCTTAAATACAAATGCAAACTATCAAAAACCAAAAATTATGTGGCAGAAGCCAAAGGGATTGCCTGAGGAAGGTTACCTGGCACCGTGTTCTGCTTTTCTGAAGGTGCACTACAGGCTTTCATTGAGCACAGTGGTATTAGTGTTATTAGACCTCTGATCTGACAAAATACAGCATTTTCACTGTACTTCTGATTGGATCTGGGTTTGCAAAGTCTTGTTCTTGTGCTCTGTGGCTTGACACAAAGCCTGCACTATTGCAGCTTGGCCTGTAAGTTAGAGCTGTACATTAAAATAGGGTCAGTGATGAGGTTAGCTTTTAGTGGCTTGTTGCTGAAGCTTTGCAAGCAGAAGAGCAAATAATTTCTTGTCCTGTCTTCCTGAAGGCACATGGATTACACTGTGGAACCCTGATTTGTTCTAACAGAAGCAATTCCTTGAACAGCAGTTGGAAGCTGTGAAACAAGATGAGCTGGTGAATGAAAGTCTAGCTGCAAATTGAGACTTGGGTTCTATTTCTGACTCTTACCTGCTGTGAACTTGGGTGTGCCGTTTCCATTTCCACCTGTTTCCTTCTCATCTCTTGTCTGTTAAATCTCTTGCTGTTTGCACCCAGGACTTGCAGCCTGTGCCATGTACAGCAAAACTGCATTTCCAGCCGTACTTCTGCTGCTCTTACTGTGCTGGTGGCCAGGGAGAAAGTTTTCTACTTCAGATGAGGTCACAGTGGGAAATAGACAGCTGTATCATGCCAGCTGTAAGGGATAATAAAAATCTCTCATCCTAATCTATCCCAGAAAGCACAAAGGGTTTTTTTTTCTTCTTCTTTTCTTTCAAAACGTATTGCTCTGCAGACATGTGTATATGCTGAGCTGCCTCTACCAGAAGTCATAGAGTCACAGAAGGGCCTGGGTTGAAAAGGACCACGATGCTCATCCAGTTCCAACCCCCTGCTATGTGCAGGGTCACCAACCAGCAGACCAGGCTGCCCAGAGCCACATCCAGCCTGGCCTTGAATGCCTCCAGGGATGGGGCATCCACAGCCTCCTTGGGCAACCTGTGCCAGTGCCTCACCAGCCTCTGTGTGAAAAACTTCCTCCTAATATCTGACCTAAACCTCCCCTGTCTCAGTTTAAAACCATTCCCCCTTGTCCTATCACTATCCAGACCTAGTCAGCAAACTGCTCACACTCCTAGACAGATTTTTCTAAGCCAGCTGTATTTTCTCTAAACCAAGGTTACTTTGTCATTTATGAGGTATTTTCAAGACTAAATCCATAAAAAGTTTTGGAATTTAAGCAGTTTTTCAGTTATCGGTGCAGAAGAATAAATCTTTTCCAAGCTATCAAAGTGTGAAAAAGAAAAGACTTGAAAGCTTCTTATCCTTGAAAAATATATCCATGTATATGCCTGAAAGCTGAGAATTGGTCAAGTTAAGGTTTTGAAAACGTTTTTGTGAAAGGTTGTAAATATCTGAAAATGGATATGGGATGGACAGCTGATCTTGGCACTGTGGAAGTGCTTTTATGGTATGGAGAAAGAAGGTCCTGCTAACAGTCACCTCATTCCTGCATCAGCAGTTTATATTGAAAAGTATTCTTTCTGTGTAATAGCTTTTGCTTGCTTTAAGAAAACCTGGGATTTTGGGTCTCCTTTATCACTTTGCAGAAATGTGTAGAGGATGGGGATGAATTCATTTGTGAATGAAAGCAGTAGATAAGATGCTGGCATCTATTGTTCGTCCTGACTGGGGTTCTGGTGTTCAGTGTGCTGTATGTGCATGGTCTGACCCTCAGCAAACTGGGTAAATTACCGATGTGTAATATCGTAGAAAAACAAGTCATTACCACTTAAGAACTTCCAGAGCTGCTTTTAAAAGCAATTGGATGAATTCATCTTAAAAAAGGGTTGACCAGCATGGACAGAGAGGTGATTGTCCCCCTGTACTCGGCTCTTGTGAGGCCCCATCTGCAGTGCTGTGTCCAGGCCTGGGGCCCTCAGTGAGGAAGGATGTGGAGCTCTTGCAGCGGGTCCAGGAGGGCACTAAGATGGTCAGAGGGCTGGAGCAGCTCTCCTGTGAGGAAAGGTTGGGGGAACTGGGCTTGTTTAGCTTGGAGAGGAGAAGGCTCTGGGGAGACCTCATTGTGTCCTTCCAGTACTTGAAGGGAGATTATAAGCAGGAAGGGGAACAGCTGTTTATGAGGGGGGATAGTGAAAGGGCAAGAGGGAATGTTTTTAAACTGAGACAGGGGAGGTTTAGGTCAGATATTAGGAGGAAGTTTTTCACACAGAGGGTGGTGATGCACTGGAACAGGTTGCCCAAGGAGGCTGTGGATGCCCCATCCCTGCAGGCATCCAAGGCCAGGCTGGATGTGGCTCTGGGCAGCCTGGTCTGCTGGTTGATGACCCTGCACATTGCAGGGGGTTGGAACTGGATGATCATTGTGGTCCTTTTCAACCCAGGCTGTTCTATGATTCTATGAAAACATAAATGTGTATGTACTTATTTGATAGGACATTTTTTAACGTGGAGCATAACGAGGCAGTGGATTAATGGTTTGCTTTCTCTTTTCTGCCTTTCTCTAGTGCACCAGAATGGAGTACGACACTGCTCTTACTCAGCATCAAGGAAAAATCTGTATATTAACAAAGGCACAAAGGTTATCTGTCAGGGTTTTACAGGCAAGCAGGTACGTGTATGTGCAATACTTCTGTCGCCCTTCTGGTGCAGAAAATTATTTGGCCATGAAATATAGTAATGCATAAGAGAGATTATAGTTTGTTCTTTGTTGATAGGAAGCAAAGCTTTGTTGAAGAGATCCCTTTGGCTGTGTAGTTCTCTACTCTCCAAGTCCAAATAGCATTTTTCTTAATAAACTATAGATTTTTGTTTTTCAGTGTGCAAACTTAAAACTTTGTTTTTGAGTCAACTGTGTTCTGATTCCTGACTTTATTTTATGTTTCATTTTTATTTTTGTAGTTGGCTTTGCTCTTAAGCCTTAAGCCCTGTACAACTGAAAGGGCTTCTTTGTAAAGGGAGACTTGCTCCCTTTACAAGCTTTAAAAGCTACTTTTGTGAAACCTTACAGCTTTAAAAGTGATCTTTCACGAATGCCTTTGAACATTGATGCCCACAGGAAAAAAAAAATGTTTTAATTTCAATCTCACATTCACTCTTTTACACATTTAAAAGGAGAGAAGACTGCTTTTTGCTTAATCTGTCTCCTGGTTATGGATGAGAATGGTAATTTCTTTGAATTTATCAGCTGCCATAATGGATGTGGAAAATAAAACATGGCTGCTACGTCTACAGGTGTGTCAGCAACACAGGACAAATTGCTCTTTGGTGTGCCTCAGTTTAAAAGAAACAAAAACAAAATACAAACTATAGCATATTCTGAATTGATTTAAAACAAGTTGATGCACTCTTCAGAATAGCCGATTGTTTACTGGGGGTGAAATCACCTCATTGCAAATTGAGGTGCAATAAATTGTCTTCAGAATTATAGATGTCATCAGAATTGGGTTTTTTTTCCACATTTTATTTGTTGTTATATGCATTTTATCTTTGTTCTTTTTCTCTCATAGGGCACCTTTCACAGCCAACAGGCATTGGAGTACGGCACCAATCTAGTTGGAGGAGTTTCTCCAGGGAAAGGTGGAAAAACACATCTGGGTCTGCCTGTGTTTAATTCTGTGAAGGAGGTAATTTGTAGCAGTGACTGAAGGAGCAGACAGTTCAGTCCAAGAGCTAATGCTGCTGAATGCTTCCATTCCTCATAGTGTAGAGACAGATTTGAACCTTGGATGTCACTATGCAAGCAAGGAAATAGAAGCCTTGTGAGAGAGGCTTTCTGTGTGGTCAAGCATGAATCTGCCTTCCACTCTGATCTTCACACTCAGCAATGCAAATATCTTTTCTTTGCAGTAGGCTTACGTTTTATGCCTGTAGCTGTTTCCTGATTGATTTTGGTTTGTGTGATGAAGTTGTGGCCAAGTATTATCTAACAGTGTTTTTAGGGGAGGTCTTTTTCATATAGTGCTTAGGTTTCAGTTCCCTGTGCTCTGTATGTCCATCTTCAGTGAATTTAACACTTGCACGTTTATGGTAAACTGTTACATATCTATTTATTTCACTTTTGCCTGTAGAGGACATACTTTAAGTGACTAGTAATCAGATGCTCTCTTTGGGCTCATTAAACGCTTGATACCTTTTTTATTATTGTCCTTGTAGGCCAGAGAACAGACTGGTGCTTCTGCCACGGTTATATATGTACCTCCTCCATTTGCTGCTGCTGCAATCAATGAAGCAATCGATGCAGAAATGCCCCTGGTTGTTTGCATTACTGAAGGGATTCCCCAGCAGGACATGGTTCGGGTTAAGCACAGACTGCTTCGCCAGAATAAGACTCGACTTGTGGGCCCAAACTGCCCTGGGGTCATCAATGTAAGTGAATTCTGAATTTGCTCCAAGGCTGAACCATTCTTAGTGATGGTTTGAATGCTTGATTTGTCTTCTTATTCTTTCTTTAGCCAGGAGAGTGTAAAATCGGTATCATGCCTGGTCACATTCACAAAAAAGGAAGAATTGGTGAGTTTTTGAATATTTATGCATCATCTAAAAGTAACGTTTGGTGCTCTAGTGTTCTTATCCACGAGGCTAACCTCATCCTACCCAGAAGACACTTAATATGCTGTGTAACACTTTGTCCTTCAGTTTGTAAGTTAGCTTTCTCATAAATCCTGAAGGCCAAAGACTTAATGATAGAGTTTGTTTCCTTAACACGATTATTTGAGCGTACTTCCAAAGAGAAGAGTTTACAAAGAACTTTCTAACCTGGGAATTCAGGCAGTAGTACCATGGTGAGTGGAACTGACAAGCACACCCACTTCTCAGACAGGGGAGCTGAGATCAGAGAGGCAGAGAATTGTTCATAACCACACATTAGTTACAAACCCTTTAGCATGCAAGCGTTGTATGCTGATTTCTAGTGGTTCTTTGTCTTAAACTATAGAAATAAGAATAGATTGTAACTCCTGCATTGCATTATTTAAAAGGTGCTCCAAAACATACGTTGCTATCTTAATAAATAGAGCTTCAGAAACATTGCAAGCAGCATACACTGCCATTATCTGTCAGTGAGGTATTTTGTTTATCTTAAACACAGCACCTTTTAATGTTTGTAATTTTTCTGGTGGAAAAACATGTTTGCTGTGAGGAAAGCTGTTCACTGTACTGGAACTAACAGTACTCAGGGCAGTTTTTCTAACACAGAATCATAGAATGGCCTGAGTTGAAAAGGAGCACGGTGATCATCTAGTTTCAACCCCCTGCTCAATGTGTGCAGGGTCGCCAACCATTAGTTTGACCACTTCTGACAATGGAATAAGCTGTACCTGGTGATGCTGGAATGGAGGAAGCATTAGCACTTGTGTCAAACTGGAAATAGAAAAATCAGACCACTGAGTTATTTCCCTTCTAGATAACATTAAGCCATTGCTCCATGACTGTAACAGTGACAGTTGATATTGTCATTCAGGCTTTCTTCTGAATCAAAGTTCTGTTAAGATCTTGAGTGTCTGCTGGAGTCACAGGACCATGGAATCTGAATGAATAAATCTTTTGCACATCAAGTGCAAAAGGATGTTTTAAATCCTGATATCCTGCTGCTGCTAGAAACGTTTTTGATAGTGATCCATGAGCCAGGGAGTAAAGATGTGAACTTTGCCACCTTCCCAACTTCATTTGACACTCACATTTGATGGAATGCTCCTCAGCCTTCTCTTGCTCTGAGGCATCCAAGAATCATTTGATAATCTTGGGATGTGAGCTTTGAAAACAGCCTCAATTTTTGGTCTGTAGTATCTGAATCTGAAACATAGGAAGTTCTTTGTGGGCTGTAGTAAGAAATAAACCCACTTCTTTGCTGGTAGGCATCTGCACTCTTCTATGGTATAAACAGCAGATAAAGTTAAATGTTAGTCTAATAGTGCATTTTGCCTTCTGTTTCTGGAATATACTAATTACACTGCTTGTTAAGTGGCTTGAAATAGATGGAAGATAATGTCTGTTTTTCTTGAAAAGCTTCCTTCTTGTAGTGTTAACAAAAATCTTGACTTTAAAAAATGGATAAAAGGCATGCAAGTATTTTGTCCCCAACCTATGATTCAGTGCTTAACTTTGGCTGCAGAAAATGTAGTTAGGTCTGGCTGGGGTTGTGGTCTCTTGTAATACTGTAATATAAACGTTAAATATGTATGGTAGAACAATCAGTTGCAGCAGCAAGTATCTTAGGAATGGTAACTCTTTTATGTCATAGAATGGCCAGAGTTGGAAGGGACTTCAAGGATCATGAAGCTCCAAGCCCCTGCCACACGCAGGGCCACCAACCTCCCCATGTAATACTGGACCAGGCTGCCCAGGGCCCCATCGTGGAACACCTCCAGGGACGGGGCATCCACAACCTCTCTGGGCAGCTGTTCCAGCACCTCACCACTCTCTCTGTAAAGAACTTCCCCCTGAAATCCAACCTAAATCTTCCCTCCTTGAACTTAAAACCATTTCCCCTTGTCTTGTCTTTCCCCCTTTCAATGTAGCATCTTTGGGTTCTGGAAGAACCTAATTGAGTTGCAACCCTGTTTTGAGTTCAAGGTGTAAGCTACTTGTATACAGGACAAGGTATATATTCTATTTTGTTTCCAACTTTCTTTCCTGATAAAGTGGTAGTGTGAAGAATGCCATCTCAGCCAACATTACTGCTTTGCTGGGCAGCTTTAATCTCTTTACAATTAAGTGTCAAAAATGCCAATCAAGAAATAGTACAAACGTAATCTTTTATAGAGTTTTCATGTTTTGGCAATGATAGCTGAAAAACCTGACATCTTGTGTTCAATTCAGTAAGGTGATTTTGTTGAATTTAAGAACAGCTGCCTGTAGTCATGCACTCAATGTCAAGTTTATCTCCCTTTGTTCCCAAAGGCATTGTGTCAAGATCTGGAACCCTGACCTATGAAGCTGTTCATCAGACAACGCAAGTTGGATTGGGGCAGTCGTTCTGTGTTGGTAGGTTTCCTCAGAAGCAGCCTGTAGACTCACTGGCTTTTTCTTCACAGGAACACATCCAAAATAATTTTCTGCAAGCCAAGAAATTGTTGGGTGGCTTATCATTATGCTGAGAAATGAGATCTCTATCTGTTGTGAAGATATAATCCTTTTCTGTTACCATTTCCACATCAGATTAATAAAAGCCTAGAAAACTTCTTTGAGCAGAGAGCAGCCAACAAACGTGGCATCAGTTTAGAAACAAATTGTTCTGAGAAGTTTAATATTAATGTAAAAGGACGGAGCATTCTTAGGCATTTAGTTGGGTATTCTGAGCAAGTTGGCTCATTCACTTTTTTTTTTAACAGTAAAATTCTGTTGCTGGAGTCTTAACTCAGCTGTATTTTGTGTGGAGTCTCTGTATAGGATGTGATGTTTGGCTTATGGTTTGGAAGGTGAATAATCACAGAATCACAGAACGGCCAGAGTTGGAAGGGACCTCAAGGATCACGAATATCCAACCCCCTGCCACACGCAGGGCCACCAACCTCCCCATTTAATACCAGACCAGGCTGCCCAGGGCCCCATCCAACCTGGCCTTGAACACCTCCAGGGATGGGGCATCCACAGCCTCTCGGGGCAAATCATTCACAGATGTTTAACTTTGGATAGCAAGCTCTCTGTGAAGTAGTGGAGGAGAGATTTAGAGCAGATTCTTTGGCACTCCAAGAGCTGTCTGTCTTATGAGTCTTTGGGAATAACCTTCCTGTTGAAATTTGCTTTGAAACTGTTAATGTAAATGCAGTGTCATTATCTTGAGTTATTTTTTAATGCAATTTTACACTTTTTTTTTCCAGGGATTGGAGGTGATCCTTTCAATGGAACTAATTTTATTGACTGTCTTGATGTCTTCCTGAAGGATCCTCATACTGAGGGGATCATATTGATTGGGGAAATTGGAGGAAATGCTGAGGAAGATGCAGCAGCTTTCTTAAAGGAAAATAATTCTGTAAGTTTTGAAGAGCTTACTTCCGAATATGTTGCTGGTTAGCCCTTTTCTGCCATGTCAAGAAAGCTTGGTTCAATTTCTAACCTCTGCTGACAGAAGAGCAAAGGATACAAGCTATCATACTTTGATATAAGAGGAATTTAACATGATTAAAGCTCCTAATTTCAGTTTAACTGTAGAGGATCAGCTCCAGATTTTTAATTCTATTATATTATTTGTGGGCAACGTTTTGCTTTTTTTTTTTTTTTTTTGGAAAGCATTTTGTAAAGTATTGCTTTTTATCAGGAGATGAAGTATTTCACACTTCTAGCTAAAGGTTCCACATGGTCTGAGCTTTCCAGCTCTTTGATGTATCAGCTAGCCAAAGATGTATTATTTGAAATCTGTTACCTGGAGTTGCTTTTCATTCACCCTTCACCATGTAACTCAGCGTCTTTTCTTTATTAACAGGGTTCAAATGCCAAGCCAGTAGTGTCATTCATTGCTGGTCTCACTGCTCCTCCAGGCAGACGGATGGGTCATGCTGGAGCAATCATTGCTGGTGGGAAGGGTGGAGCCAAAGAGAAGATAGCTGCTCTTCAGAGCGCTGGTGTTGTTGTCAGCATGTCCCCTGCTCAGTTAGGCAGCACCATCTACAAGGTTTGTTAATTGGTATATTTGTGCACTCACACTAAGCAGGAGTCTGCCTTTGAGGGAATAAGAGTTGGCAGTGCATATCAGACCCAAATACTCTGCTGCTCGAAGCTTGGTTAATGTAGTTATGACTTAGGTGATATGCAGAAGTAGTTATATGTAGTATTTCCTTTATAGGAAAGTGAGCTGCAAAAATGCAGAAGTGATTACATTTTGCTGTGGTGTACAAGTGCTTGTTGAACTGTGTTTTCTGGGTTCTATCAGAGGAAGCAAAGAACCCAAATTAATTTAAAACAACAAAACAGTCTTTGAAAGTGCAGTCAATATGGCATATAGAAATGTCTGTTAAGTACTAATTCGGAATTAGAGTTGAATGCATACAACTGAAAAACTTCTGTATGCTCTTACAGAGAATTAATGTTTTTCAAGCCAGTTTATGCTGTGTCTGGGAGCAAGTGGTTCCTTGGTATCACTGCAATCTAGCTTGGTTGCTTTTCGTAGCCAGTGAGTTAATGTGAGGTGAGAGAAGGTTTGCACACATGAAGTATTTTTTAATTTAGTTTTTAATTCCTAAAATTAGATTTAAAATAAACACAAAGTAATTTAAAATATAATAGTAATAAAAGCCTTTTTTTTTTTCTTCCATCTGAAATGTCTGTTTGCTACTTGCAGGAGTTTGAGAAAAGGAAATTGCTGTAAGAGAAGATACTTTGGAATACTGTCTCCAAATCATCAGTGCAGCACCTGACCTCTGCTTATCTTCTGTTTGCTAATCTTCAGTTGCCCAAATGACTGACACTGGTCATGGAATTTGACTTGGAAGCCATAAACCTTTAGGCTAAACCTGTTTTGATGTCTCCTCGTTTCAGACGTGATCACTGCACTGTAAATCACAGCAAATTAATAAATCTACTACTAAACCTGATTCATCTTCTTGAATTCCTGAAGCAGAACCGTTTCTTCAGCCATCATAAAGAAACTAATCAGCCTTGAATCTTTTGTAACTTAAGCACTGCCCAGTTTAAGGTAAAGTCGCTTATAGAGATGCTTTTAAAGGTCAAGGCACTGACTTTTTATGCACACAAGACAGTTTGCTTTATTTTTAAAGATCTTTCTTGTTTGTTGCTGACAAGTATGTTTGAACAATAGGCCAAAGTTTCCGTCCACTAAACCAGAGCTGCTGGATCTGAAGGGGGGTTGCTTGTTGATCCATGTAGCTGGGTGTGACTCCAGTCCAGACTTTCTTTTCAAGGCTGAGCCGTGCACAGTGTAGTCCTCTGCTGACACATAACTGTTGTATGGAGAGGTGGAATTTTTATGCAGAAAAATGAGTGTAACTTCCAATGCGAATATGTATATTCACAGTTGTAACTATGAAAATGGTTTGTTCTTTGGCTTACGTTACCTTGCTTTCCTCTTTAACCTGAGCTAGGATTGCATTGTTTGCGTGTTCTGAAATCCCAATAATGCTGGGACATAATGGACAAGATTGAGTGATCTCTGAAAAAGAATGCAGTAAGTTATCTTACTTGTTAACCACTCCAAGCACTGTAATGGAAAGCCTTTTTTTACTTTGGAAATAGCCCGAACACAGTGCCTATAAATTAGTGTTGTAAGCTTTATCAGAGTGGGCTAAACCCAAGATTGCTTTCTTTATATAAAAATCCCTGTAACCTGGCACTTGTCTAAAGCTAACCTTGTTCCATAAAGGTGCTGTTACAAAAGCTTGTCTTGTTATTTGTTTAAAACTGTGAGCTTTCTTTCTCAAGCGCCTGTGCAATTTTGCTTCCTAATGCAAGCAGTGACCATATATCTCAAAGCTGACATTTACAGTTCTGAGAGCTAAGCCCTGAGGAGATGTGTAAAAGGACAGGTCATATATCTGCTGTTCCGGATGTGTATTAGTGCACTTCACATGCGGTCAGAATTGGTCAGATGATGGGGTCCACAGGATGCAGGAGTTAGATGCTGTAAAACAGCAGCATGATTTGCTAAAATGGACCTGACATCAAGTCACTAAACAGCTGGGAGCAACACTGAACAGTAAATCATTTGATAAAACCTATGAAAGCAGGTAGGAATTGAATGCTAGATCTGCTCTTGTTTTCAAGTAGTGCTTGATTCAGTCTGAAGCAAAAAAGACAAATCAGTGCCCTTTAGCTCAAGAAATATCAGTACTAAAATGTCTCCATCTGGGAAAGAGTGCAGTTCTTCACCAGTGAATGTCAGGATGTTGCAGCCTGTCTTCTTGTGATCCTGCATCAGAGCTGACTCATTCTAATGGTGGGCTTCTCCACAGCAGCTTTAGGGATGGGTAATGATTCTTGATACAACCACCTGAATTTCATAGAATTGCAGAGCAGTTTGGGTTCAAAGGGACCTCAAGGATCATGAAGTTCCAACCCCCCTGCCCTAGGCAGGGCTGCCAACCTCCATATCTAATACCAGACCAGGCTGCCCAGGGCCCCAGCCATCCTGGCCTTGAACACCTCCAGGAACGGAGCATCCACAACCTGGCTGGGCAGCTGTTCCAGCACAACTGAAGCGTGGTAGTTTCCTGCTAAGGATTGCTCAATGGAAGCTGTTTCAGAGGCACCAGCAATTTTATAAGTTAGCCATAAACTCCATTTTACTATTTTACTCTGAGGAGGCATTCCTCATACGTTGGTAGTTGAAGGAGGGTTTAAAAGTGTGACCCTGATTCTAATGGTCACAGCAGATATTCAGGGCTACACGTTATCAGCTGCCTGGTTCTGTACAAGCCTGGGGAAGCAGTCTGTGCCAGCGTGAAGCAAAGGATCAGCTGAAGATGGAGAAGAAATCTGACTGTGATAGAAAGGCTTAATCTTTCCAGTTTTCTCTTGCTGCCTAAAAATGCACACTTGTAAAAGGCTGATGATGTTTGTCACTGATAAAGACAGTGAAAAATAGATTCACATCCGTTTCATACCATATGTGCTTATGAATAAATATTTCAAGTAATCTGAACAGGAAGATTGTTCTGGTTTCTTTATTTTTTTAAAGGAAAAAGTTGAGTTAGTGTTGAGCCTTAACCTCTGGCTACTTTATAGCTCAATAAATAGGTTTTATGTGCAAGAGAAGCACGTCTGAGGTTGCTGTTCAAATTCTCATTAGATTTTAAGAACTAATCCTCCCTTCTCCACCCCTCGTTCTCCTTGATCTACGCTGTCCTCAAATAAATATATGTACTATAGTTTGAAATTAATTAAGAGTTCTGGCACTGATCTTTCTTCTGTGGTTTTGTTGTTGTCCAGAATTAATATTTTATGCGATGTTTTTGGACAAATGAGTGTTACTTTTTTAATACATAAAATGCTAGCTAGATTCTAGCAAATGGGTATTTATAACTCAATTTATTGAAACTCACTAACAAAAGAAAGCATTTTATGCCTATTCCTTTGGCTAAAAAAGATCTTTGTGCTTGGGAGCCAGAGAAGGGAGGAGAGGCTCTGAAAGATGGACGCTGAAGTGTCAAGATGTTCTTAAGGCCATAGGGGATAACTGAGAAAATGATGCTGATTTTCTGAACAGCTGTTGTAGTTTCTGAGGTGTGCCCCAATCCTTTGCCCCTTTGTTATATATGTTTTATCCTCTCGGATTCCTGTTTCCTGTGGTGCTGACACAGTGCTAATTAGAATTGGATGGATGCTGCATTGAGATGGTGTAGGTGATTTTGGTTGAACTGAAGATGCAACTTAATTCTTGGTGGATCAAATGGCAGATTTAAAGTCTTAAGGTGAGGAGGGAGCACTCACTAATGGGCCTCACCAGTGACGAGTGGGTTAGAGGTTGCACTCTGGCAGAAGGCCACTAATTAGGTGGTCTGAAAGTAGTTAAAAAATGTCCTTTGGCCTGGGGCAGTGACTGACCCTGACACTGGTCCATGCAGGGCTGGTGGCTGGGTGCCCTCTGATAGGCATATCAAAATAGGCTGGGAAATATTGGAATCTGAGCACTGAGGCACAGCACTGTGGTTTCAAGAACGGCCACAGGAGCTGGTTTCTGATTCCCAACCAATAAGCTCTTAACTGTGCTGAAACTGTGGAATGAAGCATCGCCTGCCACTTCTTGCTGGTCAAGATTAGATTAAAGCTTTTCTTCAGAGGGATTCTCTGCAAGTCTGACACGGGCAGGAACCTGCTGGCTGCTTCTTGAGGTGGTGATGGGGAGCCCTGTGCTGTTGTGGCCACCTGGAGCAGGCTGTACCTCCTGGGGCAGGGCTGAGGGTGCTGAGCACCACGGCTGTATGGTGATGGGGAGGCTTTTAGAATCACAGAATCATCGAATCATTAAGGTTGGAAAAGACCTTTTAGATCACCAACCCCAACCCATCCCCATCATTACTCACCCACGTCCCTCAGTGCTGCATCTCCATGGTTCTTGAACACCTCCAGAGGTGGTGACTCCACCACCTCCCTGCCAATGCATTACTGCTTTTTCAGGAATTATTCCTAACATCCAATCTGACCCCCCTGGCACAACCTTAGGCCACTACCTCCCATCCCACCAATGGGGAGAGGAGGAAGACCTCCATCTCTCTTCAGCCTCCCTTCAACCCGCTGCTGCTCGTAGCGTCCCAAACTGATGATTAAAAACCAGCTGCTTTCTGCAGTAGCAATGTGATCTCAGAAAGAATTACATGAATCAGCCTGTTTGTACAAACTACAAATTCAGGGAACTGGGGGAAAAAAAGCTTTCCTGTCCCATAATCACTAAACTGCATGTGGCAGTGTTTGTGCTGAGAGTAGACGCGATAGCCTGTAATGATGTCTGTGCTGTGCAGATACATAATTAAAGGTCTCTTAAAATCTGTTTTGTTGCTGTAAAAGACAGCGCAGTGAATTTATAGTTTCTAATGCATCTGTAAGGCTATGAGATGGCTGCTTTAAAAAACAACAACAAAACAAAAACCAAAAGACCCACAACAACCCACCAACCTGTTTCCATTCGTTTTGCTCTCTAGGTGGCAGGTTCTGACACCAAAACAGTTCTGAGTTCCCTCTCTTAACTTGAGGTCTGAAACTGTGCCGGTAAAATAGAAGATGAAAACAAAAGCAGCACTACTTTATTCTTTCTGGATGTTGTATTGATTTATGATCATATCCCTTTATCTGAGTTGGGGAGAGGTGGTAGAGAGCCCAGCTGGTTTTCCTCCCTGTGCTCTCAGCCTGCCAACAGTGCTGCTATTTCTTGTTGTTTTTCAGTCTGGTATGAGTAATGCTGTCTGAACTGAGTGGCTTTAGCAGTCAGATGGGACCTGCCTTAGAGAAATACTGATCTTTGTTCTGATGTGGACAAAAAATGTCTTAGGCTGTTTCTTCAAGAGCTTACCTGTTGTATTTGTTGTTGTTGCTTTTATTCTGTTGCCCAAGGCTAGAGGGCTGACAAGAAGGAGACAGGTAGGGATGTTAGGGAGGAGAGAAATGAATTGTCATGTATGAAAGAAAACAAAAGCAGAAGCAGAAACTTAACCAGTGCATAATAAACTGAGCTATGAAATAGTCACCCTCTGTTGACTCTCTGGAGGACAGCAGAAGGAGATGAGGCTACTTGGAAGAAAAGCATCTTCTGTAGAGCCACATACAGCAGGCTGTGCGCACTGAAGGCAGCCAGCAATGAGCAGTGCCATTGGGAACTGGAATAGTCCTGCTTTTTTGTGATGTGTGGGACAAGATCAGTTTGGCTCAGGATCTGTAGCCTCAGCCATTGCGTGGAGGAGGTTGACTGTGCAGAAAGGCAGGAAGGGGTCTTGTAGCTTAGGAGCTGTGGCAATAGTCGTTGTGTATGTAGTGACTGACGTACGTGTGCCTCTCCACTTAGAAATGCCTCTGAGGAATCACAGCCTAAAGGGCTGTGTCTTGCCCAAGGTCATCCTCTCCTTTCTTGCTCTGCCTTTAGGCTGCAAGTCTTGCTGCTAACTACCAATAGCTGCCAGGAGAAAAAATCAATAGGTGGGGGAAGGCTTCTCAGCAGTCATATAACTGGATAGACCTAATTTATCTTTTGGTAGGAAACTATCAGATGAGTTCAAGTCAGATACTGAACTTTGTCTCCCACAGTATGGATGATTTGGGAACGAATCATAGAATCCTTAGAGTTCAAAGGGACTTTTAAGCCCATTTAGTCCAACTCCCCTGCAGTGAACAGGGACACGCACAGTTAGATCAGGTTGTCCAGGGCCACATCCAGCCTGGCCTTGAATGTCTCCAGGGATGGGGCATCCACCACATCACTGGGTGAGCTGTTCCAGTGCCTCACCATCACTGTGCCACTGTAAAAGACCTTTTCCTTAAATCCAACCAAAGTCTACCTTCTTTAAGCCTGAAACCATTTCCCCTTGTCCTGTCACAACAGACCCTGCTAAAGAATCTGCCCCCTTGTTTCCTGTAGCTCCCCTTTAGATATTGAAGGGCCTCTATCAGATCATCTCAGAGCCTTCTCCAGCCTGAGCAATCCCAGCTCTCTCAGTCTGTGCTCGTAGGAGAGGTGTTCCATCCCTTGGATCATTTTTGTGGCCCTCCTCTGGATGCTCTCCTACAGGTCTGTGTCTCTCCTGTACTGAGGACTCCACGTCTGCACACAGTACTCCAGGTGAGTTGCCAACTGGAGCTTCATAGATGCCAATCTAGACTCTGGTTCCAGCCTCGTTCTAAAACACAGAAGGATTTTGGGTCAAGATCCATATCCATCTCCTAAGGTCTTC